AAATGTCAATTGAAAACCAAGTGCCTTGTCAGCAATGATGACTATGGCTATGACGACGACAACGAAGGCAACGGGCAAAGGGCAACGGGCACTAGTGATGACGATAACAAGGAAAACTACGACTACGACATGGTGGCCTTTACTTACAGGTATTACTAGCGAGTTACCTGTAACAAGCATTAATGGAAAGGGGGAGACAGGGACGTACTAAGCGACAGGCACTTGATGTGGGCTTGAAGTCTGCTGTCGTGCGGATAAGGAGAACTTTTAATGGCAACACAAAAATGAGAAAATCAATAGTACACATTTTAAATTTTTGAAGAATGAAATGCATTATTGTTGTTATCATTGCTGTACTACTTAGTATATACTCGTAGTTGGTATTATTGTTAGCTGCAGTTTTGTTTATAAAGTCTCTGCTGCTTTGTAGTTGTTTGGGCAACCATTAAATATTCATGGTCACTTGAACAAAACAAAAAAGAGTATAACTCTACAAATGTGGAATAGCGAATGCGCCGATGTTTAAATACCCTTACACTCATTCCATATCTTGGCCGATTTGTGATGGAACATGCATTGCTTGCCTTAATATTATTTCGATTTCCAGCACATATTTCAAATAGTTTACAACAGAGATTGATGTAGATGTTGGTAGAGCTAGTCATTTATATTTATATATAAGTGCGTGCGTGTTTAAATTGATTGCGAATTACAAGTAGAAATTATGTTATAGCCTACCAATATTATATTATTTCGTTGAATTAAGATCTATTCTATTAAGATCAATTTCTAACACCTTCCCCGATTGGCTGGCAAGTATGTGCATCTGGCCATCCTGTTGCTGGCATATTGCATTTTTTGCTGTTGTTTGTGGAGTGTGGGCCTGCCGGCCCATTAATTATTGCTTATTAATTCTATAATTATAAATTTATAGGCACGTTTAAAACAAACAGCATTGAGGGAAGAGCCGTGCACAGCACGCAAATTACTCGAATTATTATAATTGTGAGATACACAATTAGGGGATTCTGGGGCAGACCCAGCCCGCACATATTCATTTGTAATTGCCAGACTCTTGTGTAATCAAATTATCAAATTCGATTTGGCCGCATATTAAGCCGTTTTGGGGCGCCGTTAGCTAATTAGTTTTGTCTGCGGCGGAGAAGGACAACCCGCATGGACCAACCGCCTCACACGATGGCAACAATTGGCAATTTATATTGTAATTATGTAAATGTATGTATGCCTCGGCCGCAAAACACATGCAGAGAGACACAAACACATACACTTGCAACTAATATATATATATATATATATATATATATATATATATATATATATATATATTAGTTGCAAGTGTATGTGTTTGTGTCTCTCTGCATGTGTTTTGCGGCCGAGGCATACATACATTTACATAATTACAATATAAATTGCCAATTGTTGCCATCGTGTGAGGCGGTTGGTCCATATATATATATATATATATATATATATATATATATATATATATATATATTAGTTGCAAGTGTATGTGTTTGTGTCTCTCTGCATGTGTTTTGCGGCCGAGGCATACATACATTTACATAATTACAATATAAATTGCCAATTGTTGCCATCGTGTGAGGCGGTTGGTCCATATATATATATATATATATATATATATATATATATATATATATATATATTAGTTGCAAGTGTATGTGTTTGTGTCTCTCTGCATGTGTTTTGCGGCCGAGGCATACATACATTTACATAATTACAATATAAATTGCCAATTGTTGCCATCGTGTGAGGCGGTTGGTCCATGCGGGTTGTCCTTCTCCGCCGCAGACAAAACTAATTAGCTAACGGCGCCCCAAAACGGCTTAATATGCGGCCAAATCGAATTTGATAATTTGATTACACAAGAGTCTGGCAATTACAAATGAATATGTGCGGGCTGGGTCTGCCCCAGAATCCCCTAATTGTGTATCTCACAATTATAATAATTCGAGTAATTTGCGTGCTGTGCACGGCTCTTCCCTCAATGCTGTTTGTTTTAAACGTGCCTATAAATTTATAATTATAGAATTAATAAGCAATAATTAATGGGCCGGCAGGCCCACACTCCACAAACAACAGCAAAAAATGCAATATGCCAGCAACAGGATGGCCAAATGCACATACTTGCCAGCCAATCGGGGAAGGTGTTAGAAATTGATCTTAATAGAATAGATCTTAATTCAACGAAATAATATAATATTGGTAGGCTATAACATTAAGCCGTTTTGGGGCGCCGTTAGCTAATTAGTTTTGTCTGCGGCGGAGAAGGACAACCCGCATGGACCAACCGCCTCACACGATGGCAACAATTGGCAATTTATATTGTAATTATGTAAATGTATGTATGCCTCGGCCGCAAAACACATGCAGAGAGACACAAACACATACACTTGCAACTAATATATATATATATATATATATATATATATATATATATATATATATATCATTATATCTCTATATAATATATATATATATATATATCTAGTCTATATATCTTATAGCTCTCTCTATATACCTCTCTCTCTCTATCGATTCTCTATCTATCTCTTCTCTATCTCTCTCTATATTCTATCTCTACGATCTATCTCTTTGGTGTGTTCTGGCTGTGAACAACTTTGAACTTTTGTGCCTTTTACTTGGGCAGACAGTCGTTAGACGGCCACACCAGTCCGTTGACATCAAAGGTTAAAACTTTGATAGTCACTTTTGATTGCTGCATTGTGTAAATTGTTTTCCACTCCCTTGGAAGCCTATGGCCTCATTTGCATGATCCACAATCATACATATACATACATACATATACATGTGGGAAACCTTCTAGAACAGCGGCAAAGTTTGAGCAATACGAGTACATAAAGATAAGTCCTTTTGTGCCATCTTCATTACTAGATGAAAAGTTATATGCTAAATCAGTACGAGTAAGTATCCGACATCTCTGCCCGCGCTAATGAAATGTCAAATAAAATGCTAACGTGATTCGACTACCACGATTATATTTTCAAATGAATAGCATTTGTTTGTATATTGTTAATAAGCATTTAGCAAGAAAATACTAATGTCTTTCTTTTGATTCTAATATGCAAATAATTTTTGATGAAAAAACCCAAGGTAAATTGGCATTTCCAAATTGGTCCGACAAAGCTTCAGCTTATCTATTTTAACTTCATTTGGTAACGCCTCTCCTTTCAAAAATTATGCATTGGGTAGTAAATCGCAGTGGCTCTTCACAAAACACAACCCACAAACCCACACTTTTCCCCGCTACAGTACTCTAATAAAAAAAAAACTTTCTTGATTTGAATACAAAGTTTTGTAGAGTTTTTTCATAAACAAAAAAGGTTGTGGTATTAACATTGATTTTTGCACCGATAATTTCTTTAAAAGCCATATAAGTATGACTGTAGTTAACACATTTTAAAAATGGAATAAATACGATTTTTGGTTATGCTTTCTCTAAACGAATTTTAATAACGAATGATAAAGTAAACTGATTTTGATTAACATTTAGAGAGTCGTGAATTTTCCAGATCATACTAATTCATTATGCGACCCTTTTAGTAATTACAAAGACAGTAGAGAATTTAGAAGTCAAGTTGTTTCTTGTTAGGTATTAATTGTTTTTTGATCTATTTGGCTTTTCAGATATTTAATGCCGCAGGCTTATCTGCACCTAAATGAATTCTCAATTACCTGCACAGACATAAATCCATGTTGGTATTAATCTTTTAACTATTGCAAAGCATCGTTAAAGCCTTTCAACTGCATGTATAGTATTTAATTTATTTTCATTAATGCCCAGCTTAGTTCGGCTATTTAGGTTTGGCCAAGTTGGCTGAAACACTCACCGGTCAGCATTTTAAGGCATGTATTTTATTTTCAAATGTCTATATTTCAATCGACACCCATTAAATGGCCGCACTCGCGAAGCCCTTCATTTCGTATGTTGTTACATTTCATAAAATAAAATCAATGCCGTGACCAAAAGCAAAGCCAACATTCAATTTACTGCCTTTGATTGCTGGCACGGTCCGGTCCGGTCCGGTCCCGTCCGACACGCCAACACACGACCCCTGGCCGGGCCTCGAGACGAGCCCGAACCTGAGATCAAATCAGGGCCAGGAACAGGCGGTAAATTATTTCAGGTGCGGTCTGCCATCCGAAAAGGCAGCCACACAGAATTGTAACGAGTTGCCTAATGCGAATGAAAGTTATTGCTGTTGTTATTGTTGTTGCTGTTGTAGTTGCTGCTGCTGTGGTTATAATTTTGCGGCCTTGTGGGTCTGTTTTAATTAATAATGCCAGCAAAGTGTCGAACAGCCTGTTGGCTCACACTTGGTCCTCGCTGCCCAAAACATAATTGAAATGCATTTACGTTTCTCTTTTATATACAAATTTGTATAAATATGCTTTATTCATATGTGCTAATTATAAATTATTGTCTTACATAAAAAATGTCATTTGGAATGTAGCAGAGAAATACAAAAAAAAAAAAATTAGCTTAAAAATTAAACCAAAGAAGAACATATTTTTCACGAGTTGAATAATTGCATTGGAAATTGCTTGGCAATTGGAAAAATTCGATCGATTGGTCTGCCGTCGTCAGCAACATGTTGTCATTGGTGTTGTTGTTGTTGTCGTGAAAATTGTTGGTGTACTCGTAGTTCGCCCCTTTGTCCTGACGTGGTTGATTGTTGCTTGAACTTTTCATAAGTATTTACACGAACCGAAGCGGAAATATTTACAAAAGTTGTATACATTGACTGAATGCCAGACTGACTGAATGCCAGGACGGTGGATGACGGACGACTGGCACACCTGTTGCCACTGCCTACATCCCCATACCCGTCTTCATCTCGATCTGCAACCTGAAGCCGCTCCGTACCAAGCGGAGCTGCTCTGTTGCGACGCACTCAGCATTCTCTATTTTCCACTTTTTACTCCCGACACTCTACAATCTACAGGTCGGTGGTCATGGTGTGTGTGTAGCCGGCCAGCAATTGGGATGTTGTACACAGATCTTCGGTAGGGTCGACTTTGTAGCGCTTGGCCGCGCTCTCCATTTCGTCAAGATCGCTGAAGGCGGGAAAATCCGTCGGACAGAAGTGGCCCGCTATGGCCTCCGGAATGTGCGTCACATTGTGCAGCATGTGAGCTGGAGTGCTCTGCAAATAGTTGCGCCACTTGTGGTAGGACTTGGAGGGCAGAGTTGGGGCATCGATCTCGAAGGTGGCATCCCGCCGCAAAGAGATGGGGGACGATGTCTTGGGCATGATGCACTGGGCATGCGTCATCATGTACATCTCCCACTCCAGATTGCTGACAGCAGGCATGTCGCAGCTCTCGCTGGCCATACTGCCGCCGTCCGTGTCCATATCCGCTTCCATGTCCTGCGTGCGTCGCAGACATGCCGACGTGCTACTGGATGCTGTCGATGATTTGCTGGGCGTGGAGGCGGCGCTGCTGCATGTGAAGTAGCCACAGGAGCGTTCCAGCTCCCCCTCCAGCATGGCCTGCTCGGCAAAATCGTCGCATATGGAGCGTTGTTGATTGGCCATCAGATTGGGCTTTGGACGTGGCGTGCTGCTCCGACTCCAAATGCTGCGACGACTGGGCGTTGTGCAGGCGCTACCCAATCCGCTGGTGCAGGTGCTGTTGCCGCTGCTTCGCCGGCTGCTGTAGCTCCGTTTCGAACCACTACGTGGAGATGGTGTGGCGGCCAAGTAGACGCTATTCAATGAGGCATTCAAATCGATGGCACGTTTGCCCGACTTTTCCAATTTCACATTGCTGGCACAGCAACCCATTTTGCTATCTAGTTGGTTTTCGTTCTTGTTCTCGTGTTAATATTAAACCTCTCGCGACTATGCTCAAATGATGACTGTCTGCTGTCCCTGCCGTGCAGCCGTATCTTATATAGCTGCGGCTCCAGGCAGGTAGTCGTCGCCATTTTTGCGGTTCCTGGAATCGCGTCGACACTTTCCTCGACTCGGCTTACCTTAGCGCTCGGAGGACCGCCACTTACCTGCGCTAATCCGCGCTACGCGATTTGGGTTTTGAGAATTTCACGAACTACAATCTTTGGTTTTATGGCCGCAATTTGCAAAAATCTCGCCGGCTCTGTCGCACGTGTGCAGCGCAGGATGCACGTCAACACCATTACCTGCGCCCAGCCTCGAAGTTTGTCTATCAGTTCAATCAGTCTTAGCTCGGCCTGTGTTCTGATATTTTTTTTATTTCACCCTTCCAACAATTACGCAAAGCCCTAGTCGAACAACAAAAAAAGGATAGGATGCAGGTCAGCATGGCGTATACTTAATATTCGCAGGCATGCTCGATCGCTGCCCACCGCTATTCATGAATGCGTTGGGAAATTTCCGAGGAGTATGCAATGGCTTGAAGGTCAGTCGCAGTGTCCAGCCCAATAGAATAACTTTATAACCACTGCACAAGCAAAAGCAAAAGCAAAAGCAACGGAAATGGCAACGGCAACGGCAACGACAACATCAAAACAATAATTTTCCGCTTAAATGTTGAATCTTTTTAGAGCACTCGCTGAGACAAAATCAACTAAAGCCAAGCAACATAGCGAGGAAGCAAGCAAGGCAGCAGACAAGCAGCAATATTTGGGACGATGATGACTGCCTTTGGCCCTCGTTAGCTGTTTGTCCTTGTTGTGTGGCCATTGCTTGACCTCGGCCAGGACGCAGAATGGTGTGCGTTTGCTTTCGCATTTTGATTGTGCGGCGCTTTTCCTCTGCCCTGGGCTATTGTTCATTATTTTGTTGCGGGACGCCATGGCGCAGCAGCTGGGACGCCTTTAACGCCGGCAGAGCCGCAGTCAGAGCCATAGCCACAGCCCAGCCACATCGCCCAGCTGCGACAAGTGCGACATGAACGTGTTGGTGATGATGTTGCTGCTGCTGGTTGCTAAAAATGAAAGTGAAGCCGAGGGTGATGAGCCATCTGTGCAGCTGTTGCAATCTCTGTTGCTCTGTTGCTCGATGCTGAAATTCACGCTAATTCGCAGCACTTCTTTGTGCCAAGTTTCTGAATGGAGTTCACCTTTAGCGTCCTGCCAGCTGTGAAGATTTGCTATTCATTTCGAGTGCTACACTCATTTCATGCCAATTTGGCCAAGGCTGCTTTGTGTTGCAAAAAGTGTTGCCATTGAAATCCCAATTGCATTGTTAATGTAATTGCAAATGCAATTCCGAACGGAAATTGGCATGTGAAGTAAGTAATTGAAATAACAGTGGCCAAGAGGCGAAATTGAGTCTTCCTTACCACATCCAATTGCCAGCCAGCTTTTGTGCCATGTTTTTGATTGCGAAATGCAAATTACCATTTATCCCTCTGCCCCAAGAACTGAATGTTGTTTGTTTGTTTGTTTTTTTTTTCAGCCAAGTTGCTTGTTGAAAATTCAATAAGTTTTTTCTTTGAAAAATTAGCAGTTGAATGAATCAATGCAAATTAAAAATAGTATTGATAGCTGAATATTCGCAACAGACACAGCTCTCTGTTTTTTTATTATTAATTATTTATTAGGTTAGGTTAGGTTGACCGTCAATAGTGATTATATAAAATAGTTGGAGATAGTTAGGGGTTTCTTTTAATGTTCCATTAGCAGCTTGCTTTGTTTTGCAAACACCAGCAGTACTTTTGGAAATATGCTGCATATCGAGTCAGCTCTTATTTATCGTTAGTGGTAGTTTACAATTTAAATTTAACAATCAACCAATCTTTAATTTATTTGCCAAATCTTTAAAGCTCATACACAGCTGCTTGTAAAAACGCATTTTCTTAATTAAATCCCACCTGTTCGTCTTCTTTCCTACCTATCCAACCTATCAGATCTCAATGCAAAAAAACTCAACTTTGGAATTTGTCAACACAAAAAACATTCTTAGAATGCTGTTTCATTTAATTTCAAATTAAAGTCATAAGTTTTCTTATAAAACTGGCAATATTAATTATTAAATTAATAAATTCTTGTAATTAACTATTACAATTGAATTTTCAAGAGGTTTGAAACTCCTCTTTAAATTCGAAAATCAATTCGCTTGGTTTCTAGGGTAATTTAAAGTTTTTTGAATTCTTATTGCTGAACAGCTGTTTAATCTACTAACATCTCCAAGCGATTGTTACACTTATACAAAGTTACAAAGTTACACTTAAAAAAAAATAATTAGCATATGAATTTAACAGTTTAACTGATTACATTGTTATTTGGTTTAAATTCTCAGATATAGGAAGTTGTAGAAAACAAATTGCACCTATACAAGTATGTTATTATTATTGTGACCAGCATTGTGCGATAATTTGATGAGCCGAACATTGCGGGAACAATTTCCCCGGATAATTGAAATAGTTGGTAATTTTATATCCCATATGGTTGAGCATATTGTAGGGATACATACACAGATTAATCCGGCACCGCCTTTACACACATGGCCATGCAATTTACATCACTGATAGCATGTGCTAACCAATCAAAAATTTCACACAGCCGGCCCACGAGGCTCAGCATTTTTGCATAAATGATTAGTAAAATTCCACATTATGGGGAGGTAGGAAGGGTTTTCACTTTGTGGGTAAAACATACTGATTGCTAGTCACACACACATGCTGGGCTCGCCCACGCCCGCTTCTAGTCGGACCGTTCCTTCGACCATTCGAATATCTAACCATTTGGCCATTTGACCATTCGGCCAGCTGTGCCTACGCCTATGCGCGTCAAAGGGTTTCGCCTTTGACTACTTACCCTTTTTCCTGCGCACGCCATTTATGCCATTTATGCAAATGCTACTCTATGCCGGTATGAATTGTTTTTATTGTTGTTGCCTTCGCCGTTGCTGTTGCTGTTGCATTTTCACACGCAATCGGGTGAAATTTTCCCACAGTTGAGCAAAAAGTAACAGCTCGGAAAATACAAATTTAAAATGCGGCGAGGAATTTCCTTGCGTGTGAAAAAGTTTCCTTTTCCTCCATACAAATATTTGTGTGTATGTGTACATTTTATGTTGGTTTGCGTTTCTCGAAACTCAACTGCCACAAAGCTGCATTTCGCTGCTACCATTTGACAATATTTCCAAGTACAAATGGAATTCAGGATTTGGGCTTTGGGTTTTCTATCGCATGGATATTTTGAATATTTGCCAACGAGCGTGGAGGCCCCTCGCATAAGTCACTCAGCCGAAAATCGGGGTAATGCGACCGGAGGCCATGCTGGCCTGCGCTAAAGGATGGGATGAACGAAGGGGTGAGGGGTGCGGGGTGAGAGGCGCATTCCAGTAGGCATCTCAAAAGCCAAGTGGCAGTAAAATGCACAACACGCCATGGCGAGGGTCTGAGATGCCGTTGCAGTGGCACGTGATTTCATGCCATCGTGCAACATGCGTGTGTGTCCTGCGGCGACTGCCTGCCCTACCCTACCCTACCCTGCCTTGCTCTGTCCTACCCTACCTTGCTCTGCCCGTCCGTCCAAGCGCCTGCGCTTGCGCCCATATCCGGTTGTGTGGAAACGGAAGCAGTTGCCTGCACTTGCCAGTTGCAGCTGAAGTTGCTGGCGTTTGTTTGTTGAAGCGTGCCAGCAACTGTGGAGGCAACTACAGCAACACTAACAACAACATAAACACCAACAAGCCATACAAACAACGCACGGACGCGATTAGATGCTTGATTTACCAAATACGTATACAATGCTGCAGTGAACGTGCTGGCTTCTGCCATAGCCTGAAGTGGACAGAGATAAAGACTATTGAGTTATTCAATTTCGATTTCGGAACTCAAGCATGATTATTTCCAGTGGATGATTAAAGCAATATATAAACCAAGTAGTTAGAGGCATACTTACTTAGAACGATAAATAAATATATACATAGGTATTTATATTGAGGAAAAGGGTTTCTCCAGCTACAGTGATTTATTAGATATTGAGTTAGGAGTCTAATGTTTTAGGAATAGCATTGGGATATACTCCTTATAATATTCTAATTATAATTATTGCAAAATGTCATACAAATTTGCGAATTTATCTTGCTAAGTGAATTCCAAGAGAGCCACAAAAGCGTTAATGCCTTTCTCGTGTGTAACTAAAGTAAGCAAGCCTTGATTGCTTCATTATATTCCATTATAATATACGAGCTGAAGCGCCTAAGTTGCATTATTATGCTCTGAAATATTGATTCAACTCAATTGTAATGTGCAGGTGTGTAACGTCCTTGGTCAATAATTTACTCGTATCCATTGGAATTATTGAATTTCGTTTCGAGTGTCATTCAACTTTAATATAAGCTTACTTACATGCGTATACACGTATATGCCTGAGTGCCTTCTCACGAGTTGTGTTGAAAGTGCTTTAACCACTATGTGTGTCAATCACACTTACTACGCTCAAGAAGGTTCACAGTTTTGGCCATGAACAACCAAGACCGTCACATACCCACAAAATGTAACCACGCCAGGCCCTGACTCTACTTCTGAGATGCACACAACAGAGCACCACAGCACCCTTTTCGCAATTTCATGCCAATTCGCAAGGACATTGATTTGCTGCATTCAAAGTACGAATATCAAGAGCGATTACAACTACAACAAATGTAGCAGTGTGCGCTGCAAAGAAGGCCACTTTAGAAGTAACAATAAAAAGGAAAAGGAAATCAACAGATAGAACGTGCTTCGAACGCAAAATTGTCAAGTGCTGCCAGCTGTCAGATGTGTGAAGGGAACAGATCCTGCTCGGATTTGGCCTGCATGTGACTTCGTCGTGGCCAAAAGTGCACAAGAGCACAAGTGCAAGCCAAGC